AAGGAAAAAACCCCAAAAACTTCGCGCCTCCCTCCGAGTACGGGGACTGTCCCCCCGGCCATCGGAGCGGCTTCAAAATGGTAACTTTGCGCTGTTTGGCGAGGAGGAGGATGGTTTTACTGCAGTGGTGGTGCCGGGGGGTGGGGGAGCCCTGCGGGCTCCGGGAGCCCTTTGGCTTTGTACGCTCCGTCAGGGACGTTGAGGGGGGGCAGACTGCGATATTAATCCATTAAGAGACAAAGAACAAATTGCCTCACTTTAAAGTAAAATGCTTCGGCTAAAGAAGGTGGGTGATGGGTCTTCGAACACCGAGTAGCCACTTCAATTAATAAGAGTGGGTTGTTTCCCCCCGCCCCTCCCCGATAGTATTGATTCGGCGTGTGCGTGAAATGCCCGATGTGGGGCTGTGTCCGTGCGTCCCCCCCCTTGTTTTTTGAGTCGCTCTCGGTTCCGTGGTGAGTCGGTCGCTGCTTGATCCCCGTTAGAGAAGTATACAGTTTATCAAAGGAAGTTGGGGGTGGGCGGGCAGAGAAAACAATTATTCACGTATAGACAGCGAGGAGGGCTCGGAGGACAATGTCTCCGTAGCGATTATTTCCAGAAGAGGAAAAATCGCTCGTTTGATGCGGGTGGGGTGGAGAGGGATGCAGGGAGTCTAATGTACGTGTTAAAAAAAAGGGTGTGTGTGGGGGTGTCGAGAGGAGGAAAGGAAGGAGAGAGAGAGAGAGGGAGAGAAAAGAAGAATAGAAATAATGCAGTTCCAGACATTTTGTGCTCTAAAAGCTTTCCTCCTCCTCGTCCCTCCCTCCCTCCCCCCGCTACTATCTTCGGTGATCATTAGCATAGCGCCGAGTCGCGATCCTAATGCGAATTAAGCACTTGGGCAAGTTGAGGAAAGTTTGGATGGGTAAACTTTGCTATGAGGGAAGAAGGTGGGGTGCTAAAACTGGCAGTACGTGTGGGGAGACGTGTGGAGCATGACAGCCGGCCGTTGTTTTTCCCCTCAAACCAGCTAACCTCTGCAATTAACTGCTGGAGACAAACCCTGTGTTTTAAGCCGAAAGGTGTCGGTTTGGAGTCAGCACCATTTATTAGGAGCGTTAATAAGCTCCCAGCAGCAGACAGGGATCTTCTGGGGAATGCGCATTGTGCGTGCCCACATCTTATCCTTTACATTACCCCTATAGATGCGGAGGCGCTCGGGCACTGGACGTGCAAATATCATTTTGCTGGGACTATTTTCGAAACATTAATTCTGTTCTTTATTTAATCCAAAAGCAGGGTTCCCCTCCCCCCCCCCTTTGCTGCCTTATTGTTGGTTTACATTTTCTGAAAAGGCGACTGGTGTAACCTGTGGAATTTGAAATGCAAATAAAAGCCTGTGGGAGTTGAGGCAGAACAAATCAGCATTTATAAAGTGAAAAAGATTTAATGTCTTTGAAACCACTGCGAGATTTTTTTTTTAATAAGAACTGAATCGTGACGTCAAGTCGTTGGGGCAAGATTTTTTTTATTTTTTTTTTTAATGTCTGAAACGTGGGTATGCGAAGTGCTTACAGGAAAAACAGATTACAAGATTAACATCTGTTAACATGATCGTTTATCTCCAGCCAAAAATAGGTCAGTCCTTTCTTAAGGAAACACGATTGCTGGGCGCATGATTAAATAATGAAATTAGGCTGATGAGTTCATAAATTAGACGCTGTGTCGACGTGCGTTAGGATCCGACCTGTGACAAAAAAATGTAATTCGAGGTCCGCCGGAGAGCGATGCGGGGTCAAAGTCTCTTTTTGGGGAGAGGCGCAACTCTCTCGCCGCCTCTTCCTCCTCCCCT